GCAGGGAATCCTGGGCCCCCGGGGGTTCCCTGAACATACCCGTCTCCACTTCCTTGACCTCATTTCTGGCTGGGCCTGGCCTTCCTGAAGAAGGTTGAGGACCCACCCGCCTTTATAATTTTATTATTTTACGACCCTGTCCTGTTTCTTTAAAAAGAAAAGAAAGAAAGAAAGAAAGTAAAAGAAACCCACCAAACGTTTGGGGTTGTTTTTTTTTAACTCTACAAGTGATACCTGCTAATAAACATATCAGTCTTTGGCCGTCCCTGTGGCAAACACAGTGCCCTTAGAAAGAGTCATGACAACTGGGGAGTTGAGTGCCCCTGGCGTGCTGGTTGCATCCCTCAAAGTCCTGTGTGTGAGTGGGCTCGTATGCCCATTTCACAGATGAGGGATGAGAGGCAGCCCGCAGGGCTGGTGTCCCCTGCCCGTGAGGGACTGACCTCGCAGGGCCCGAGACAGTGGGACAGACCTGCCGTCTCCCACACACTGCGTGCATCCCACCACCTCCTTCCAGCAGCACCTGGGACTGAGTCAGTGTGGAGAGGGAGGGTGGGTGAGAAAATAACCAGGTGGGGGAGCCTGGCAGCACCCTCAGACTGCTCCCTGGAGCATTTCTGTAGCTCCCAGAGGTAACTGTGTTGCTTCCACTAGCAGGGCCTACCCAGGTACTAGGCCCAGGACCCCCAAGACCGGCCCTGCCTCTGCAGATGGGGCCACACGCTTGTTTCTGCTCTGCCTCTGGGGACAGTGATGTCCTCAAGGCCCCCCCACTCCCTCCGTTTGGCTGTGTGATCTCAGGTGAGCCGGGCACCCTCTCTGGCTCAGAGAGGCCCTGTTCCCTCCTGACACCTGCTGCAAATCCTTGGGGTGTGGCATCCCCAGAATGGTGGGAGGAAACAGGAAGAGCGGGTGCGGGCAGCTGTGGAGAAGAGAGGGTGTGCCGGGCTCCTGGGTGCATCCACACACACCCAGGCAGGGCCTCAGCCGTGGGAATTTATGCTGTGGAATCCTGCATCTCCAGGGAGACGGAGGTGGGAAGAGGAGGCCATGGGGGGTGCCGGGCAGGCAGTGATTGCAGGGAGGGGGCCTCCTGGGTGGACCATGGCCCCAGAGCTCAACAGCAGGTAGAATGGCCAAGCCTGGCACCGCTGTTGGGAACTTCCTGCGCTGTGGGGCCAATCCAAGGCTTCCAGCAACTTTGGGGTGAGCCTTCCTGGGCAAGGCTGCTTCCTCTCCAGCCCTCTGTCCAGACCGGCCCTTCCTGTCCTACCTTCCCAAGTCCTCCGGGTCTCTTAGGTCCTCTGGGGCTCCCCCTGGCCCCACCCCCACAGCACCCCTGACCCTCATCCTCGGTGTGCCCGTGGCTTTTCCTCTGTGCCAAGTGTGTGGCAGGTCCTCCCAAGTTGTCTTAGGACATCTCGCATGCCAACGAGCCATCCCGAAGTTTGCCCCAGCGCGGCCTTCCCTCCCAACCTCCTCTCTGCTGCCAGACTCAGGCCAAACATACCCAGCTCCCTTGGGCTGGCCGAGCGCCAAACTGTTCATCCTTAACCCCTTACAGAGTGCCTTTGCCTGACACATCAGGGTCCTGGTCCCCTTGGCAGCCTTCCCCCCAGCATGCGCCTCCCGCTCACCTTGTGCCACCCAGAGCCCGAGTCCGAGGTGAGCAAAGGGGAGCTGACCGCCCTTGAGGTACTTGAAGTCCTTGCACAAATGCCAGCATCCTTCCCTAGTCTGTGAGGAGTCCCAGTGGTGAAAGAGGTTACACACCGAGCTGTGAGCCACAAGGTCAGCAGTTTGAGCCCACCAGCCACCCCAAGAGAGAACAGTGAGGCTGTCTGCTCCCTCAAAGACTTACAGCCTCGGAAACCCACAGGGGCAGTTCTGCTCTGTCCTGTAGGGCCGCTGTGTAGGGTCGGGATTGACTCAAGGCAGTGAGTGTTATTTTGATCATTATTATTTTTTAATGCAGAGGTCTGTTAACCACCAGGTCGGGAGTTTGAGCCCACCAGTGACTGAGGCGGAAAGAGGGGCCTGTCTCCTCGTAAAGATGGACGATCTTGGAAACCCACAGGGGCGTCCACTCTGCCCAGTAGGGCTCTTCCGAGTCGGGGTCCACTTAATGCCGGAAGGGGTGGACTTTTTGGTTTATCCTGATCCATTTGGGGGAGCAAGGCTGGTTGGTGAGATGTTTGGTTCTGGAATTTCAGACAGCAAATGGCTTTTTCCGAAAACCCCCAGCTCTAGAGTTCTGGGGTTCATTGTGGGCTGCAGGGCTGGGGGACTGGGGCCCATGTGTCCTCTTTAGAGGCCACCTCCTTGTTTGTTTTACCCCATTAATGACCCTCATCCTCATCCCCTGCCCCCAGTTTCTGCCTGTGTCCTCTCTGCCTACCCTAAGGCTTCTCTCCAATCCCACCTGGCCCCCCCCACCCCCCCCTCTCTGACAGTAGCTTTCCACATCCCAGCATGAGCTATTCAGGCTGATGAGTATCCTACAGCTCGCTCCACCTCCAGCCCTAGGGGGCCGCTTCTCTGAGGTTCCTTCCCATCCTGCAGCCCCCTCCTTTCGACTTGCCCATCCAGACCCTCACCTCAGTCCAGCCCCGGGGGCCCTTCTGCCCAGCTACTCCTTGCCTGGTGCGAGCTCAGCTGGCCCTCCAGGTTTCCTGGCAGGTGTGTGAGCTGTGGAGCGAGGCTGTGCACCAGGGCAGGGGCTGGTCTGAAGGGCCCTGAAGCCTGCATCTTAGGGTTTAGGCTAAACCCTGCCTTACTGTGGGCCACGCTGGTGAGTGCCCAGCGGGGTGCCCTGGCAGATTCCGATTCATAGTGCCCCTATATAGGGTTTCTCAGAATGTTCCATCTTTACAGGAGCAGACAGCCTCACCTTTCCCTTGCAGAGAGTGGCTGGTGGATCCGAACTGCTAACTCCAGCAGGGAAGGGGGCAAATCCTGACTGAGGCATGTGGCTCTGAGCTTCCTCCTCCCTAAAGTGGGAAAAGGAGACCACTCCCTGTCCGGGCCTTTCAGGAAGACTCTCAGAGATCGGGCTTGTCAGATTTGCCCAAGGACTGGCCTTGGAGTCAACACAGGCTCAAGGTCACCATGGGTATCAGTGGACCTGCAGAACTGTGCTCCCTAGGGCTCCCGGAGGCTGATCTTTCCCTCCAAGTCACCAGGCTTCTCTTCCAAGAGCTCACCTGGTGGCATGGTGCTTTCACGTTGGACTACTAACTGCAAGGTCAGCAGTTCGAAACCACCAGCCTCTCCATGGGCGACAGACTGGGCTTTCTACTCCCGTGAAAAGTGAGAGTCTCGGAGCCCCCAGGGGCAGTTCTAGCCTGTGCAATGAGTTGGCTGGGTTGCTGTGAGTTGGAGCCAATGCGATGGTGGAGCTGTCAGGTCAGCGCTGGACAGCAGGGCTAGCGGTGGTTTGAGTGTCCAGTCCAGCTGAACCTCGGGGGAAAGGTTGGGCTATCAGCTGCCGGGGAGATTTAGGAAACCTTACCGACCCAGCTCTGACTCATGGCCACGGGGTCGCTCTGACAGCCTCTGGGGGTCCCTGTGACTCGGGACTGACTCCGTGGCAGTGGGTTTGGGGTGGGCTGTCCCAGAGGTGGGCCCGTGGGTGAACTCCAGCCTGGGGGTCAGCACTCAGCCTGTGCTCACTATTGGAGGGTGACCGTGGTCACTTTCGACATGGGTGTGCTCGCTCGCCTGAGCGATTCTCTCCTCTTGGCCTCCACTCACGACCCTGCCTCCCACCCTGCCTCATCAGCTTTGCCAGAATAATCCCCATGCTCTCCAAGAGGGTTCTGGGTGTTTATGGTCTCCAAGAAATAGGCATTCAAAGCAGATTCCTCATTTGTTCTCCCCCCCACCCCCCCAAAATCAAAATTTGCAATCTGGACTGGGAGCGATAAGGGGCGGGGGTGCCCCAGCTGAGCGAGTTGGGGTGTGGGCAGGCAAACATCAGGAGGGGCAGGTTCAGCAGGGACCCCAGGCTGCCCTCGCCCTGTCTATGGGCGTGGGCTTGGCGGGGCTCTCGGCCTCCCTCCCTGTGCTTGTCTCCGGACTGCCAGGTTGGTGGTGGGACCCTGGGAGGCGCTGTGGAAGGCATCCTGTTCTGCACTCGGTGGGCGCCTGGAGTCAGCATGGCCTCGGTGGCCAGTGGGAGTCATGTCCACTACTGAGAGGATTAATGAGATGTTGTCCTGGCCTGGGCGGCTGCCTTCGTACCAGGAGACCAGCCACTGCAGGCGGGCAGGCGGGCGGGAGTTCACACAGCCCTTTCCCCTTGGAGGAAGGACCAGGCCTCAAACTCTGGAATCCAAGACTGTCAGACGGCAGGGCCTGTCTGTCACACACAGAGCTCAACCCTCTCATCGTGCACAGGGGAAACTGAGTCCCAGAGAGGGGTGCCGTGTGGTGAGCCAGTACAAACCTCCAGTCGGGGCTGGAGCTTCAGCTTCTCAGGGCTGGGAAGCCCCTACTGAGGAGTGCAGCCCCACCCTTTCCCTGGGGACCCTGCCCCTCTCTGGGCATCAGTTTTATCATCTGTAAATAGGGCAGCCCACAGCTGCAGCAGCCCACAGCACGTTCCTGGCTCTGGAAGCTGTGGTACCCCCCACCCTCCGCCCAACTCCAGCCAGAACTGCTTCCCCAGAAAAGCCAAGCAAAAAGGGCTGTGAAAGCGGAAAATGCTGTCAGCTTGGAAGATGAGTTAATTTTAGAATGTTTATTTTTAATTACTCAAGGAATCGTGCTTGCAAAAGAATTCAAAGCCCCAAACGGCACCCATGTGCACTCTTGCTGCGCCACTCCCAGGGCTTCCGCCCTTGACAGTCTGGCCTGCTGCCTCCTGGACCCATGGCTCTTTCCAGACAGAAATCACCCCTCCCACAAACCAACCCTCACCAAATCACGGCGATGCTATAACACAGGGTAGAATCCGGGGAGCATGAGAACCTCACCGCCTGTGTGCCCTTCCTTTGCAGAGAAAACCGGGAAGATCCTGACGGAGTTCCTCCGCTTCTACGAGGACCAGTATGGCGTGGCCCTCTTCAACAGCATGCGCCACGAGATCGAGGCCACGGGCGTGCCGCAGGCCCAGCTGCTGTGGCGGAAGGTGAAACTCAGCTTCCCCTGAGCCCTGCCCTCCCACCACCACACCGCAGATCTCCCCCAGCTCCCCCCGGGGCTCCCCCTAAGGGCTGTGTCCTCACAGCGTACTCCCTGTGACCTGGGGATGGGGACGCCTCTTCAGGGTGGTGGTGAGGATTGTAGATTACAAGGCGGGGGCTGGCGGGGGCTGCCGCGGTTGTCCTGTGAGCGTTCTCGCCGTGTGTCTGCCCCGGAAAGAGATGTCCAGTCCAGATGGGATGCTGCCTAGCCTCAGCCTGCCGGGCAGCACTGGCTCACCTTGGGGCTGGGGGTCAGGGGTGGTACAGAGATGAGGCCGTGCCAGCAACTCCGGTGGTCTCTGAGCGGCCAGCTGGGACTTGTGGCCCTGGGTCCGAGGATGTGGGCGGGAAGGTCAGCCCTTGCTCCCTCCCAGGTGGCGCATGGCCCTGCCCCTTGTCAGCCGAATGGAAGTCCTGTTTTCGGGCACCTCGTGTCCTGGGACAGGGGTGGTTCCTTTTCAGTGACCTGCACATGCTCCCCTCTGAGTGGCATGCAGGTGGCAGAAGGGGAAGGAGAGGGAGGTGCATGAAGGTCCCAGGCCTGTCTCCTCGCCAGGTGCCCAAGTGGCCCCTGGGCAGATGCTCACTGCTTCCCATGGGCAAACTAGGTCACCCTGGTGACCCAGAGGTGTGGGGACATTCGGGCTGCATTTCCACGATGGCTGGGCAGCCACACCTGGTGTTCTCCTAGCTGCCCAGGGAAGCTGTGCTCTGACTCAGGTTCTAGAGGCCACTGAGGAGGGACGGAGGCTCTAGATCGGAGGGACCAATCTACAAAGTCCACCTCAATCTCACAAAAGCCACACTGTGGGCTTCCGGGGGCCCCTCTGCTGGACATGCCGCCCGCTCTCAGGAACCCTGTGGACCCGTGGGAAAGTCACGTGGACCTGAGTTCAGCCCCTTCCATTAGTTGATGGCTTGACCTAACCTCCAGGCCGCAGCCTCCCTCCTCTTTCACAAGCCTGTCTTTGCCAAGAGAAGCAATGGTGCAGTGGGATGCGGGGCACAGAAGATGGGGCGGGGGGCGGGGAGGCTTGAGTCCTTCATTGCTGGGTCACCTCAGACAAGTGACTTCACCTCTCTGAGCCTCTGTGTCCCTGTCTGTAAACTGGCCCTTTGAGACGACAGCAGTCACCGTGGACCGCAGTCACCAGGACAGCTGTGTGGAGGAGTGGGGCTTCCACGGAGCTCTGGAAGCCAGGCAGGACGTGGGGGAAGGCCTCCCAGAAAGGCAGGGCTCCCAACAGATTCTTTCCAGTTCAGTCACAGCCAGTGGAATGACCCCGGAGCGTCCCTGCGCTTGTGAAATGTGGGTGAACCCAGAAACCATACCTGGAATGAGAAAAATTAAGCTCCAGCGCTGCTTAAGGTGGGACCTTCATCTGCTTCTTAGAGAAATGAGGGCAGCATGCATGTTGTAGGTAGCAACCAAAATCTCTTGATCAGCACCGTCAGAAACGACAGACTTGGCCCACAGATGGCAGCCGACCGCACTGCTTTGAATGAGTGCCACTCTCCACAGTCCGGCCACCAGTGCCCTCCCGCATTAGGCTCCGGAGAGGGCTCGCCACGCCGCCCCGTCCGTGTCCCGTCTGGGTCACACGTTGGACCGTCATCTCCCCCACCCTGCTCAGCATCTCACGTCACCGAGTGGAGGAAACCCAGGTCTGTCTGCTCCATCTTCGCTTCATCAGCCGTGACAAAACCAGTTTGAGGCACTGCAGGGAGGGGAACGGTGGGCAGGGGCACTTGATGGGGTCAGGGCAGGGAGGGAGTCAGCTGGGCACAAAGAAGAGACCAAGAAGTCTTCAGATGTGGAAGACGGGGTGCATTCACTCCCCCCAGACCGCTGCCTTCAGGTTGATTCTAACTCATAGGGACCCCATAAGACAGGGTTGCCAGGGCTGTAAGCTTTCCTCCAAATGCTAGGTGGCTGAAAAGGTGCCCCTTTTCCCTGGGACCAAAGGAGGGGGGCGTAGAAACAGCTTCCTTCCATGCCTGCCTGGGAGCATTTGACCTGGCTTCTTCCCAGCTGGGGGATCCTCAGCAGAGCATGCTGGTGAGGCTGGAATGGGCCCCAGGGTCTTTCTGGATGACCCTGATGAGAGACTGCCAGACTCACAGCCAAGGACACACGCATCGAGTGGGTCAGGCCACGTGCTGGCCCCACAGACACAAGATATGTTCACAGGGGGACATGAGCTGCAAGGAAGTGGCAGGGTGGACACAGACAACAGGGACTGACCTTGTCCCTGGAAGCCCAGGAGGGCTTCCTGGAAGAAGAGCCGTTAGACTGAGGACTTCGCAGCGGAGGAAGCATTTGCTGGGAAGAGAGAATTCCTGAGTGCGGAGACCTGGGTGGCGACCCAGGACGCTGGAGGCAGGAGTAGAGCCAGCCCCTAGGTGCCTAGCCTCAGGCTCTTTCTGCTGGGACCTCCAGCCATCCTGGGGCGGAGGGGCTGTGCCAGCGCTGAGAGCCCAAGCCTCTGAGAGCATCTCTCACACCTTTGGTTTTGGACCCAGAGAGGCTGCCTGTCTGGTCCCCTGATGTCATGGCAACTACCCTGCCCAGTGATGGCTGAAGGGGCGAGGGGGCCCAGAGTGTGGCCTGG